AGGACCTAGAGGGCCACATGTGACCTTGAGGCTGCAGGTTCCCCACCCCTGGATTAGATGATCTCTAAGGACCCTCCAAATCTTAGAGTTCTTATGGCTAATACCAATCTAGCTTCCCTTAATATCCATCAAGCATTTAAACGACCTCCCCTTAGAATAATAATAGTTTCCATTCCTGGAGCACTTTAAGGTTTACAAAGCACTTTTACTATAGTAAACCTATAATTCAGTTAGTGTATATATTACCTTTCCCACTTTACCAGTATGGTATCTATCTGGGGCCTGGGGAAGTAATCTGGGGATTTACCCAGAGTCACAGAGCTAATTTAGGGTTGAAGATGAGATTCAAATCTGGGTCTCCTACTCCTCCCTGCTTGAGGAATAGAAGCCTACTTCATACCATCCTGAACCAAACAGAATTAGGAAAATAAAATTGTTACAAAATGATCTTATGATAGATGACAAGGTGGAACAAAAAAGTATTTGGGGATTATCCATGTTTCTGCATCCCCATCATTAGAACTGACAATCAAAGGTTGTCATGGGTGACATTGCTATAGAGTTTAAAGGTTTGCAAAGTGCTTTACTTTTCATTTCATCTTCCTACCAACTCTATGAGGTAAGTAATACAAATTATAGATATCCTCATTTTACAAGGAAGACACAGATTCAAGACAGGTGAGGTGACTTTCCCAAAGCAGATAGCAATGAGAAAAGAAGGGATTGATCACTTCACTGGGTCAAAAAGTGGCCCATGCAACCTCATGTTACCCAGGAGGCATTTACCTTGTCAATGGGGAAGTTCAGGCTCTTCCTGATTGTTGAGATTAGATGCCACCTACCTAGTGGTGCCTACTAGTCTTAATAGCCTGCCTGAGAGTCCACAGAATTTTAAACATAAAAAAAAATAGCATGATAGTGATTTGGCCCAGGACTTTTCCGTGAATCTCATAAAAGATGATGAAGCTATAGACAAGCCCAAAGTGCTTCATTTCCCCTCTTCAATATGTCTGCGTCATCCTTCTAAAAGCAATCCTAGCCAGCCTCTCCTTAGTGAGAGCTCCCTCCATTCACGTCTGGCTCCTCCAGGTGAGACAGTCTTTCCCTTTCCTTGCCACAAATTATTTATAAACAGAAATGTTGGGTTGCAATGGTAATTAGAAAACATCCTACTTATCCTTATTAAAAGTCATTTCATCCTCCTTCAAAAGAAAAAAAAGAAAAAAGATGAGGAAAAGATGAATAATCATATAACAATAGTAGCAACCACCGACATTCATAAAGCACTTTACAGTTTACAGAGCACTTTGCAGATACAACTGTCATGGTAACCCTTCTACAAATAGCTTTTTTGTAGATGAGGCAACTGAGGCCAGAAAAGTAAAGCGATGAGGCATCAGAGTGGGACTTTAATGGGGGAAAAAATGTGGCTAATAATAACAGCAACTCACTGATGTTATACTTCATAAGGTTTACAAAAGTGTTTACTCACATGACACTTACTAGCTGCGTGACCCTGGGCAAGTCACTTAACCCTGATTGCCTCAACATAAAGCAAAAAAAAAAATTGTTTACAAAGCATTCCCCCCACAACAACCCCATGAAGTAGGAGGTGGAAGAATTTTTACTTTCAGTAGGGGAGACAGATACCAATTAGATAATGGAAAATGATCCCCCACCCAGGATTTAGGATGAGCCAGTGACCAATGTACAAGAACAGATAGGAACCAGGCACAGCCCTGCCCAGTCTTCTTGAGTGGCAGAGGAGGGGTCCCTGAGGGCCTGTGTTCCCCTTTCCCTAGCTGTTCTAGTATCTTCTATAATGAAAATAAGAACCCCAATAGTGCCATGGCCAAACTGCCTCAGAGCAGACCAGGCTTTTAGGCTTCCAGTGGATTTGGGGGAGGGGCAATCAGGGTTAAGTGACTTATCCAGGGTCACACAGCTAGTAAGTGTCTGAGGTTGGATTTGAACTCTAGTCCTCCTGACTCTAGGGCCAGTGCTCTATCCATTGTACCACCTAGCTGCTCCTGATTTTGAATATTTAAAAATAAAAATTTTTAATTTTTCCTTGTTCCTCTTATTAACAAAAGTTGTTCCTCAGTGCTCCATCTGGGAGTGGGGTGGGGGATGCGTTTATTTCCTCTGTCTCCAATAAGAAGGCAAAGTCCTTGGAGGGAAGGATGTCTCCTCTTATACCATGGACTCTGATCCTCAGTATAAGCCTCAGCCCATGGTTCAATTCCACAAATATTAACTGATCCTCTATTACATGCCTAGGCAATACAAAAGCTGTATGAGACAATGGCCATGCTCAAGGATCTTTCCTCATTGTGGTGAGGTCCCAGGATGCATCAGCACTCTTCCATCCTCACATTGGCCTTCCAAGAGAGAAAATTTACCCAGCCTCTAAGACAACTGTGCTGGGTCCTGGTCAAGCTGAGTCAAAACATAGTCATTAATATTCATTATTTGAACTGTACATGAAAACCTTTGGTCTTGAAATTAAGGCTCCTCCCTTCACCTTCTACCCTGTCTCCTAAACTCAAAGATTTGATTCCTGATCGATAAATCCAGGATTTACTCTTCCATGGGTGTTGCTTTCCTCCTCCCACTTAGAGACATGGTTTCTCCCAATCCTCTCTACCAGATTATTTTCCTTCTCAGACATTAAAATGTAAGCTCCTTGCCTTTTGTGTATTCCCAGAGCCTAGGAGCATGCCTGGTGCGCAGTATGTATTTAATAAATGTGTCTTGATTGATTTGGAAATGAGAAGAGAAACACAATGGAAGGCTAGTGACCCAAAGCTCAAATTCATGGATGTGTTAGGATAAACCAAATGGAATAAACAATCTGTAAGTTGGGTCCTGAGTTCAAGAATTCCTCAGTGAAGCAAGAAAACCAGCAGCCAGTAAACCACTACCACCACTACCTCCAACTCCATTCAGTTGCCAAAACTAGTTGATCCCATCTCTCCAATATCTCCCCTCTTCTCCATTTATGTACCTCTCCTGCTCAGTTAATTGCTTCAAGATCTTCTCTGGAAAATAAAAATGATAAATGTCTCTTAATTACTCTACCTGATTCCAGTATTGCCTCCTCTCCAATCTATGGCTAACCGGATAATCTTCCTAAGGTATAGGTCTGACCTCTGCTCTAAAATTCTCCCTATTGCTTCTAAGATTTAGAACAAAAAACAAAAACAGACACCCCTCCTCAGCCTAGCATTTAAAGCCCTTTACAATCTGATCCCAGGCTATTTTTCTAGATTAATTTCATATTTTCCTCCCTCCCTGAACTCTGTGTTCCAACCAAACTGACCTAATTCTATTCCTCAAGTTAAGCATTCCATCTGCCATTTCTGGGTCTTTACTGTCTCCCACACCTGAAATATACTACCTTTTCTTTGGCTCTTAGAATCACCAGCTTCCTCCAAGTTTAGCTCAGGGATCACTTCCAATGGGAAACCTTTCCTGATCCCTCTTACTCATCAGTGTTCTCTCTCCCTTCAAATTATCTTGCAATTGTTTGTCTATTTACATGTTGCATTCCCTAGTGAAACATTAGCTCCATGCGGACAGGGACTGTTTGTCATTGTATTCCCAACACCTGCCATGGTAGGTGCTTAATAAGTGTTTGTTGATTGGGTTGATTTGAGCAGATTCATCATGGCAGAATCAATCCATCCAAGGTGATTTCAGTGAGTCCTACTTACATTGATTCCCAAAGTCTAACAAGGATGTAGCAGAGAATGGTCCTCTCAAGACCCCTTCCTTTGGTGAAGCCTATGGAAATCAGACCCACCAAATTGCTGTTATCCCCATTACTATTACCCACCCCAACCCTGGCATCTGGCAGGAACAGATGGGTTTTGCTATCAGAGCCCTGGAGAGATTTATGATGATTCTGATGAGAAAGCTAAGGTGGATAGCTGAGGAAAAAAGGTAATAGTGAGACAGGGTGTCCCTTCAGAAAGAGCAGGAAGCTGGCTACCAATGTGGGCTCACTGCCCTTGAAAATGGAGAATATAAGAGTTAGAGTGCTGGAGTGTGGATTATGGCTCTGATATTCTGCCCCTTCCTATTTAGAAGATATACATCTTTACTTAAAGGATATGGAAGGTTGCAAGGCAGATCCTTGGGGAGACCTCCCAAGGGAAGATAGCTTAGTCATTGGACTGGCCACCCTGAAGGACACTCACTGATGGAGGCTAACCATAGCCTCTCCTTGTTTGGGCATCTTGGCTGCAATGAGGTGGGCTTGTAGGGGGTGTGAATGAGGCAATTCAAGCGTTCCTCGCTTTTAATGACACAGATGACAGCTGTGGGAAGCTTGGTATGAGAAATAATCCCGTCATCTTAGAGAACAAAGGACAATGAGACACTGAACAGATTCCATTTTAACACCCAGGAGCCAAGTTCCACAAGGAG